TATAAGTCATTTATCAGTTATATGATTTACAAGTATTTTCTCCCATTCTGTGGGTTTTTACTTTCTTGATGGTATCCTTTGAAGCAGAAATTTATAATTTTGGTGAAGTCAAAGTATCTCTTTTTACTTTTGTATTGAGAAACCATTCCCTGATCTAAGGTTACAGAGATTTACTGCCATGTTTTCTTGTAAGAGTTTTATAGTTTTAACACTTCCATTTCAGTCTATAATCTGTTTTGAATTAATTTTCATGTATGATGTGAGGTAGGGATCCAATTTCATTCTTTTACACATGGATAGCACTTGTCTCAACAACCATTTGTTGAAAAGACTGTTCTACTGAATTGTATTAGTACACATGTGAAAATAACTGATTGTGATGTAAGAATTTATTCCTGAACTGTCAGCTCTATTCCATTGATCTATAAACGTGAATCTGACATATCTGATCTATAGACATATGTTAATTCCACACTGTCCTGATTATTGCAGCTTTGTAGTAAGTTTTGAAATGGGGAAATACAAGCCTTCCAACTTTGTTCATTTTTTCCCCCCAAGGTTATTTAGGCTCATTTGGAATGGTTTGTAAAATCCAAAAGAAAAACTGGGGCAGTGAATAGAAGCTACAGAGAGACATTTCACCTCTGATTGTAAAAGAATTTTCTTAAAGCTGTCTGAAAACCATATAGTCTGCTGTATGAGTTCTCCTTCAGTGGACATGGGCAAGCATTTGATGATTGACATTGTAGCATGTGCAGTGGCTAATGGGAAATGCAGCAGTGTCAACCATAGGTTTGAAATCCACAACTGCCACTTTATCAGGCTACATACCTTTGGGTAAGTTAGTCTATCCATCCATACTGTTGTGAGATAGTGCCTACAAATTGCTTAATATAGAGCCTATTTCTGAAAATCTGAAAAAGACTCAGTGATGATTATTAAGATCATTAGCTCTAACTCAGTTCTGAACTAGTTCTGAAGGGTTCAGTTCTTGAAGTAGATCATCTTAACCTTAAAATTTTATGATTCTTTTCACACAAAAGCCTGCACCACAAATGTTCATAGCAGCTTTATTCATAATGGCCAAAAACTGGTAACAACTCAGATGTTCTTCAAAAGATGAATGTTTAAACAAATAGGCACATTCATACCATGGAACAGTACTCAAGATTAAAGGAACAAACAATTGATACATGTAACATGCAACCTGCATGAGTCTTCAGAAACTTACGAGTGAAAAAAGCCAATATCAAAAGGTTACATACAGTATCATTTCATTTATGTAACGTTCTTGAAATGTACAAAATTATAGAAGTAGAGAACAGATTAGTGGTTGTCAGGGGATAAGGACCAGGAGGGAAGTGAAAGAGGATATAAAAGGGCAACATGAGGGATCCTCCGAAGTGATGGAAATGTTCTGTGTTTGACTGTACCAATGTCAATATCCCGGTTGTGATAGGATGTACTTTAGGTTTGCAAGATGTTACCATTGAGGAAGATTGGGTAAAGGATACAAGGAATATGCATATTTCTTTCAACTGCTTATGAATCTACAATTATCTCAATAGAAAAAGTTGAAAAAAAAAAAGAACCTATGATTTTTGTGACCCCTGAAGTCTTAGCATATAGTCATCGGAATACCTTTCTAAATTTGCTTGGCTTTTTCTAACATCCTTCTCAGTATACATTTGGCCTGTCTGTGTGAGAATACCTTTTTTTATTTATTTTTTTAAGAATGAGGGCTCTAACACTCGCCAGAAAGTTTCATCAGAATAGTGGCAGAACTTTAAATACAGTGGTAAGTAAATGTCCCTTCCAAATGTGCCTGAAAAGGCTTCGAGTGGTTTAAAAACTAAGGAAATTATTTGTCTCTGGGATTTGTTTTATCTACATTTTAAACAAAGAATTACTGGAATTGGAAGGAGGATCAACTGTCTTGGTATAGGAGAAGTAGATAATAGGTAGAGTCTTAAAAGATTGCAGCTGGACAATATTAGAGAAGTATTTTATATATTTGAGAATTTTTTTTCTTCATTGTTTGCTTCTATAACATCTCTGACACCAAATGAGATGGTGTATTTTTTCCCTACATATATATATAACATTAACAATACTATACACAGCAGTAATCAGTAATGTAACTTCATTCCAATAGCCGGACCTGATTCCAATGTGTGTAAATCTGTGGGAGGGGATCTTCCCACACATATTTACACCAAGCAATTCTCAAACCCCAGCAGGGTGTTGGAGACCTCAACTCGATTCTGATGCTATCTGCCCAGAGACAGCACCAGATGCCCAGTTTAAGGGCTCCGTCCTACAAGACTACCCTCTACCCTCCACTCCAGACATCAGTCACAAGCCCCAGGCAATTACCTGTGCTTCTGACCTACTGGCTACAGAATGGAGGTTGCCACGACATTCCCATTAGGTTCTGTTAATTTGCTAGAGTGGCTCACAGAACTCAAGAAAACACTTATATTTACCAGTTTAATAAAGGATACCATAAAGGATACAAGTTAAAAGCCAGATGAAGAGAGACACAGGGCAAGGTCCCAAATAAAGGAGCTTCTATCCTCGTGGAGCTTAGGGCCTGGCTCGGTGGCACGTGGGGGCGTTCTGTCTCCGACCAGGAAGCAGGATCCAACTGAACAGAGCAGGCAAAGTGGAGCAGAGTGCGCTCTTCTCACGCCTTTTGTGAGGGCTTCATTGCAAAGTCATTGATTAAATTATTGGCCATTGGCTGATTCAGCCTCCGCCCTTGGGTGGGGGGTCCAAAAGTCTCTTATTAACATGACAAAACACCCATTTCACCTTTAAGACTGCAGTGTTTTCAGGAACTGAATGAAGACCAAATACACCTTGGGAAGTATATAGTGGGTTATTTGAATGACCAAGTATTTCTTATAACTCCTTATATCACAGCTTCCTAAAAGACTTGAGATAATTATCTTTTGCCTTTGATTTTTACCATCAGTCACTTTTCTGTCTGCTTTTTCTTTATTATAATAAAATACGCAGAACATAAAATTTACCAATCTTAGCCATTTTAAGTGTGCAGCTCTGTGATTTTAAATACATTCGTGTTATACTGCAGCCATCACCACGGTCCATCCCCATAACTCTTCATCTTGTACCATCAGTCACTTTAATAGGAAACCTGTTCCTATGTACCTTCCAGTAATAAGCAACATGTTTAACCTGTGCTCATGCAAAGGACATGAAAACCATGAAAGAAGTCAGTACTCGAATTTTTCATAGATAGTGGCTTTGAGCAGTTGTCTTTCAGTGTCCTAATTTGTGTATGCCCTAGAAAATAGAATGAGAAAATACTTCTCTCTTCTGCTTCCATCTTACCTGTCAAAAGGATTTTTTCTGCATACAGTTATTGTAAAAGACATGGAAAATGATGTTTAGTCCAGATTGTCTGCTTTGAGATCAGGCTTTTGAGATCCCCTTTTTTAAAAAGCATCTTCTGCTATCTTTAAAAGAAGTTGAGGGGAAAAAACCAAGTTGGGAAATATTGAAGGGTTTTAAGCAAGACTCCAGTGGAGAGAATGGATGGGAGACACCTGAGCCTGAAGGCTGGTAGACCAATTGTTGTAATATGGATGGATGCAGATGATCATGTCCTGGAATGGAGAGCTGTCACTGTTTCCTGACCAGCATTTCCCATAACGTCTAAAACATGAACAGAGTAATGGCCCCAGTGACCACAGGCACACCTAGGAGAAGTGACCTCAGGACCGTGTCACCCACTGTTCTCTCTCCAGGGCCTAGACCCCTCCAGAGCTGCAGCCCACAGTTGTCCCTCATTAGTGGTTGGGCCAGAGCACATTGGGAAAATTGGAGGAGCAGGGTTCAGGGGGCCAGATGCTGTTGGAGTGACACTGGGGTCATGCGTAGTTTGGGAGTAGAGAAAGTTGAGGTTGGGTAGAAAGCTTAGGATTTGAAATCAACTGATAGAAAGGGCTAGAATTGGGGTTACATGAGAGTTAGCTGGTCTTAGGTGGGGGAAGATGGTATTGGAGGCAGAGAATTGATGTAGTTGAAGGAGGGTGGGATTGAGAAAAATTGGTGTTAAGAAAATAAGCTGATGAGAGATGAGCATTGTGTGGTGTTGAGTATCAGGAGCTATTGGATCCTGCGTGGAGATGGAGGCTGGGTGGTGGTGGGCACTAGTATGAATGTGCCTGTTTGTTTAACCATGCGTCCTTTTAAGGACATACGGGTTGTTGCCAGTTTTTGGCTGTTAGGAATAAAGCTATGAACATTTGTGTACAGGCTTTTGTGTGAAAAGAATCATAAAATTTTAAAGTTAAGATGATGTAGTTCAAGAACTGAATCCTTCGGAACTATATATATACATAATAAACTAATTACCGTTTGTAGCTGCAGTTTATTCTTTGTATTGCTGTATGGTGTTACATTATATGACCATATCTCTGTTTATCCATTTTTCTATCAATGGACACTTGGGCTTTTTATGGTTTTTGATTACTAATACTTTACTACTATGAACATTGTTACACATCTTTCCCAATGAACATGTGTACGTGTTTTTGTAGAATAAATGCCAAACAGTAGAATACTTGGGTCATAGACCTAAATATTTTCAACTTAAAAAGATAATGCCAAATTTGTTTTCAAAATACTTGAATTTACATTCTTGTTGAGTGTTAAGAGTTCTCAATGCTTCACAAACTCTTTAACATTTGCTGTTGTCTGACTCTTTCCTTTTTTTGCAATATGGCGGTTCTGAATGGTTCCTCATTGTGGTGGTTTTATTTTACATTTCACTGGTTTGTAATGAGGAAGATCTTTTTGTGGGTTTACTAGCCATTTGTGTTTCCTTTTTTGTGAAATGTCTATTAGTGTCTTCTGCTCTTTTTTTTATTTTATCAATTTGCGGGCATTCTTTATATATTCTAGATACTAAACCATTGTGCAAATATCTGTTCCCAGTTGTTGCTTACTTTTTCACTTTTTTTTGAGTGCAGGGACAATGCTGAAAGGAATGAAAAGGCTTATCTCAAGGGTCCATAAGGTGAGTCCTAATTAATCTAAAAGCTTTGTGCAACATGACTTTAGATGAATTCTTGTTTTGGGATGTATTCATTGTATCCATAATAATATGATAGTCTTGAGAACTTGAGTTGACTCAAGCTTTATGTACAAGTTTATATTCAAAATTATAATTCCATTTCTCTGCCCATACTCTTCACTCTCAGCTGCCCTAAAAATACTCAAGTAACAGGTGTCAGTAGAATAATTGTGCTTGGGTACCTGTCATAAGAGAGTTAACATTATTTTTAAAAATAGATAAATAAGCTTGATTGCAGTTATATTAACTTTTATTATTCTCTATTTGGATTAATGCTTATCATCCCTTAATGAAGCACTTAAAAATAAGTTGCTAATTTAGACCTTTAGTTGAATAAAATGATAAAATCACATGTAAAAAAGATCATTCTGTTGCTTTACTTCATTCTTTCATTTATTTAGCAAATAGTTTTTCAGTGTCCTCCATACGGCAGACACTCAGGATTGATTCTAAAGTGACTCATTTCGCTAATAACGTTTATTGTTTGTTGGACATTCATTATGTGTTAGGCACTGTGCTAAGTGCTTTCTTTTAATCCGTATGACCAAACCATGAAGTAAATAAACTCTTTGTTTCACAGACGCAGAAACAGGGTTAGAAAGACAGCTTGCCTAAGGCAATACTCTGTGAAGTTGGAGAGCCCAAACTAGATTCCAGGTCTGACTTCAAAGCCTGTGTGACCTTAATCACTGTGCTGTGTTGCATCTTATGGTCCATTTTCTCCAGGTCCCCTACTCCAATAGTGGAGTAATGAATAAATGACCGTTATAGTACGGTGCTGTTACAGTACCCAGGAGGAGCACCTCACCTGGATTAGCAGGGCCCAGAGGAAATACTCAGAGTTGAATCCTAAAGATAAGAACTGAGGTATAAGGGCTTAGTCATTTCCAGCTGATCACTTAATTACAGATTAGATTTCTTAGAAAAGGAGCCCTTCCTTTTTATAGGACGCATCTTTTTATCTTTTATTCAGGGATTCATGGTAAACCTGTGAAAAAACTATTATTACAAAATAAAATGAAAATAAAACCAGGTCTCAACAGAGGGATGGATTCTGGTCTCTACTGATTACACTAAAAGATGGAAATTTCTTTTTAATAGCAGACAAGAAACTGCAGAAAGATGTCAGTGAGAATTTTGTGCTTTTTATAGATTGGTTTAGAGTAACCTTGATTGGCTTGTGAATGCTGTTCTTTTAGGAACTGCATGATTTTCATCCTGGAAGTGTGCAGAGGCAATTGTACATATGGTTGTTTTTCCTGGGAGCAGGAGACTAGCTGGGTGATGCCATATATAACACTAAGCAGTTAGGAATCCATTTTGCTAGCTTTTAATTTGCTGCAAAAAGCAATTACAAAGTCATAGGATTCTTGTAGAAATAGTACCACCTTGTGGCCCGTAAGTGTATATTTTTTTCTACTTTTTTTCAGAGACATGGTTTCTCTCCAGTGGAAATGAGAAAATTGAGTGGTATCAGTACTAGGGTGTATTATTCAGATTGCTATACTGAGATAACAGGCCCTGAATTTTCATTGGCTTAAACAAAACAGATGAATTGTTTGTGTTGTATGGTGTGTGTTTTGCTTTGTTCTTGCTGTTGCTATATTTCCAAAATGGTTTGCAGGCAATTGAGGGAGCAGGTAGACATGGGTTCATCATTCTGGGATGCCATTCAGTCTGTAAATTTTAAGGTTGCCACAGCAGGGGAAGAAAAGAGAATTCATGCCCATTCATAACTGGCTCCGACTACAACTGACTACCAGTTATTTCTGTTTACAGTTCATTAGCTAAAACTAATCACATGATCCCAATCTATCTGCAAGGGCAGCTGAGAAATGTAGAATATTCGAATATTTGGTAAATATTGCCATCTCTGACATTCCCAGATGAAGTTGGAGTGACTATATTATTTTACCTTTTTACTTTATGTTAAATAGACAAGTTCCGGTTCAGAGGTTCAGAGGTTTCCATGTGCAGATCACCGAGTTGCATGTACTGCAGTTTGCTTTCACTTGGCCTGCTTTATATACACCCCCATGACATGTCTCTAATGAAAGATTCTTTATCAGGGCACAAGTATGACGTTTTTGTGGTGTGTTAGGTACTCAGAGAAGGAGATAGAAAAATAAATAAAATCTGGCCCCTTCTCTTCCAAGTGTGGGCAGAGACAAACTTGTGTGTAAGATAACTTGATGTACTAAAAGGAATAGAGATTTGGAGTCACACAAACTTGAATTCTGGTTCCACTGCCTACTCTGTGACCTTAGGCAAAATTTATTTAATTTCCCTGACCCTGGTTTCCTCTGTTGTAAAACAGGCACAATTTTCTACCCGTCTTCTAAGATTACTGGCTCAAAAATAACACGTGTTGCCTAACACTAGTAGGTACTCAACTAACAAAAGCTGTGGATTCAGCTCAAGTCAAAGTAAAAATGCCATGCAATACAGAGAAAGTGCTTCCAACACAGAGGGAAAGATAATTACTTTTAACCAGAGGTGTCTGGCAGATCTTCACAGAGGATGGGACATTTGAGAGGAAGCTTAAAGGATGAATAAGATTTAAATAGGGAAATTGACGGTAGAATGAACAGAAGTAGGGAGGCATGAATAGCATATTTTACCATGGTTGTATGAATGGAATACAGAGTTTGTAAAGGAGTGAGACTAGAAAGGTAATTTAATGTCTTCACAGTGGCCTTGATTCATGCAGAGGACTTTGAGACTTACTTTGACATTAGTAGGGAACCATCCAAGCTTTTAAAGGTTAAATTGAAGGTAAAACTATTGTTTGGTAGGACAAATCTTTTAAACTATGAAAGATGAAGAGTTAAATATTTAGAGGTAACCGATAGAAAGTTGCTATGGAGCTTAAAGTTTTCTTATTAAATGGGTGTAAGTGTGATGAGTGGTGTTACAGAAATAATACACATTTTCTGGACTCAGGAAGCTGCTTGGTGAGACTAAGTATAAATAGGCAAGTTTCATACTACCTACTGATTTATCATGCAGCTCCCTTATTACAGCCATCTGTCTGTTCTCCTCCTACTGGCTTCATATCTTAATATTCCCTTGTAACTGGCATCTTTTCACTTCTACGTAAGTTCTTTTATCCTTAAGCTTAGTTTGGGGGAGGTTCTCCAGTTAGCATTTTCACAGATTTGTCTCCTGAAATCTCATTTTCTTCCCCTAACCCTTCCCTGGTTCAGAGGTTTCCATGTGCAGTTTACTGAGTTGCCTGTAAAGCAGTTTATTTTCACTTAGCTAAATGCTTTGCATACACCCTCTTTACATGTCCTTAATAAAAGAGTCTTTATTCTGGGGCACAGCTGGAATAAAGAAGCAAGAAATTTTTGTAGGAAGTGTAATTATATTTGTCAAATAGGAACATTGTACTAATCCCCACTAGCTAAGATGACTGCAGTTACTAGACAGTACTGAGAGTGGTATAGCACTGGACACCATTCATCACTGTGACCAAGGGCATTAAAAGTTTAGGTTGGCAATGGTTATGCTCTGCTCCTTAATAATCTCTAACAAAATTTTTTGTTTCCATATGGGGCAGAGCCCTGACATAGCAACACAAGCTGGAAAATATTCATAGTATGAATAATGTGATGGGACTTAGAAAAATATAAGTATAACAAGGACTTGTTTTACTTAAAACTGAAATGTATGTTAGTGACATTTTTCTCTGTTGCAGGCATGGCTTAAACCCTCACTTTTGTACCAAGCATAAAGAGCCTGATAATTCCAAGACATTTAAAATGATTTCTCTTATAGTTGGACCCCGGACATTTTTTGCACACAGGGGTCCAGACACCCCAAAGCCTTGCTGCTCACCTAGATAACCAGGTTCCAATTAAGACTCCCAGAGCTATTGCCCGCACCAGTGAAAATGACCCGGTGAGTTACTAATGTGTCTATATGCATTTTTTTCTCAGGGTTTATTGTTCATGTTGCTGTCATTTTACTTATCAGGAAAATTGAAATCCACAGAAGCTAAGCAGATTTACAAGTAGTGCACCAGAGACAGCATTGTGGAGCCCAGATCTCCCCATCCCTGTCTGATGCTATGGTAACTTTAAGCATTCAGACAGTTCAGTCCACATCTGTTCTGATTTAATCCCTAATATTGAATTCACCTCATGCCAACGATTTTTTTGAGCATAGAGTAGATACACAGTAAATACTTATTAAGTCAGTTCCTTAGAAATTACCCTTAGCAGTTATTATTGGTCTTACTGTATGACGGGTCAGCTGACTTTTCCTTAAAGGACAGATAGAAAATATTTTAGGCTTATGAGCCAAAGTGGTCTCGGTCACAACTACTTAGTTCTGCCATAAACGGATGTGGCTATGTTCTGATAAAACCTTCTTTACAAAATTGAGCGGCCCTAGTTTACCAACCCTGGTATAGAGACTCCTAAAGAAATCAGCTTACTTGCCCAGGACCACATAGCAAGGCAGGTACAGGGCCCAGTTTTCCTAATAACCAACCTGGTACTATTTTCCACCTTTCTAAGTGGATTTCCTAATAGCTGGAGAGGGAACTTACTTGATTGAGAAGAACAGCATTTCAAGTGGAGTTTGTCAGCAGAAGCCAGGAATCCAGCAGTATCCAGTGTTGCATTTCCATTTCAAGTCCCATTAGGCTAAATGTTTATTTATTTGCTCCTTCCCCAGCATTATTGTTGCCTCTTAAACATGAAATTAGTTGTGGGGTCTGCTTAAATGGGAAGGGAACCAATAGCTTTTTGTCCCTATCCCTACACTCAGAGTCTCCTCATGTTAACATACACTGTGCGTGTGGAGATAAAAAAATAACTCATTACCCAAAAAAATCTCCACGGGATGTGTTTTATTTATGTCTCTTAACGTTAACTACTTCCACAAGCACAAAATGAAATAGAAAAGTGAATGAAGTCATTGAAGTGTCTTTCAGCTTTCCCTGTAATTGTAGTCTCTTTATCTGCCAATTCCTCTGGGGTTTCTATGGAAACAGTGGAATGCAGATGATCTTGTCACATGACTGGAGCATCTCTATACACAGCAGAGAAGAATCCAGATGGCGAGAATGGTCTCTGCTGCCTCCACATCTAGGGTTTACGTTGCTGAGCAACTGGCTTCATCATTCAGGCCAACACCAGCTTTATATACACACTGTGAATTGGGGGACAACCAGTATCATTTTTTGTCTAAGAAATGAAAGATATATGTTCCAGCTCTGAGAGATGAGCATTCATTTTGAGCATAGACTCAATATGGTCTAGCAGCCCCTTTCCACTTTTCAGTCTTTGTTACTTTGACTGTGGCCGTATTACACCTATTTGCATTTTTATTTCATAGGCCAAGCATGGGGAGCAGCATGAGGGTCAGCACTACAGCATCCCCCTCCAGGACCTGAAGACGGTGCTGCCCCATGGCCTGCCGCCTCGCTTTGTAATGCAGGTGCCCACAGCATGAAGGGAATGGAGGGAGCTCAGAAAGCCAGCTGCTGATGGCAGAGGGGTGGGATTAAATGAGCCGAATTCTATAAAAAATGAAATCTGAGTCGTAAAAATTCTCAGCTATTGATTATCTTTTATGAATAGTGCTCTTACTATAATTACCTTAAGCCAATCTGTGGTTAACCACTTTAAATCCTCTTGGGAGTTAGGCAGAATATTCTTAAGTAAATAAACAATATCCCACTATTTTCCATGTGTTATTTAGCAGATTTCTAGAAACTTTGGCATTCCAGTGATTATTTAAAATGAATGTAATATCTGCTTTAGCAAAACAGCATGAAAATAGTTAATATGTAGAAAAATAAAATCTGATTATATTTCTGAGCCCAACAGAAAATACATTTGGGTTAGATGCATCATTGTTCTTCAGTCCCATGGATTTTCAGAAAATGTAGTTTTGTGGTCCTAACTTCAGCCCAATTTGAGTATAATCTTGGGTTGCATTGGAAGAATTCATGATTAACTGCAAGTGTAGTCTATTAGCATAATTGGTTCTTTTGACTAACTCCTGCTGAATTATTTTCAGCCTCAGAAATATTCCTTCTTATTGAAACACCAAACTCAACTGTGCTGGTGATTTTTAGCTTAGGAGCCAGAGGATGTCGTTTCTTCAGTGTGCTTTGTTTCAATAAATCATACAAGACACCAATAAGGGAGCTAATTCTAGACCATAGACAGTCTTGTCATCGGAAATGTTATTACGTTTGGAAATAGGATACAGCCAGAAGAATCATTTGTAATGGGACTTTAAGCTGTTCAAAGATATTCATAGTACAATCTCTACCTTCAGGGTCATGTGGGCCTAACTTTAACCTTTTCAAGCTGCTTTCAGAATGGCTTACCCACCAGTGCTTTGGAGGGAATTACTCATACATTCTTTCCATGATTTCCATTTATGTGGAGGCCAACTCCCTCACCATTGTTTGTGTATTTCAGTACTGTCATATTGCCTAATATGACATTTCTGTTTTAATATCTGTATCATGTTTTTGAAGGTTTTACTTTCCATTAGGTTAGAACTTAACCTGTTAAGTTCTTTTCCAATTCAATTGTTTGGTTAGGATTTCCTTAAAAAACAACACTATTTTAATCCTTATCTGATGTACTTACTAATAGTATTTGTTAGATATTTATTTTTATCAACAGACGTTACTTAATACTTTATTTGCAACTCACTTTCATACATATCAGTGCTTCCCAAATGTTTTCCACCAAAGTATTCCTGGTTGTGAAAAGGGAATGAACTCTTGTGTCAGTCCTCTGGCATGTCTGTATGCTGGTGGCAGCCCCATAGCTGCAGGGCAGCAGGTCACACCTGCTCCTGAGCTGCCATGGATATTGTTCCAGGTAATAAAAATTAAATAAAAATAAATGTAAAATAATTAGCATTGATTCAGTGCTTAGCATGTATCAGATACTTTGTTAAGCATCTTACATGCTTTTAATATTTACACCAACCCTAAATGGTATACATAGTTACATTCTGAGATGTCTGGATTAGTTATAGATTTCAATTAACTGATTTAATGTCTGTGCTTCATTAACAGAAGTAATACAAAGCTAACTATTAGGTTACTTAGTGTGGAATATTTCATTTCTTAGCTAATTACATAGACTTTCAAATCTGGTAACAAGTTAACCTCTCCTAACTGAAGTAAATGAAAAATATGCAATGTGCTGCTTTTATTGCTGTATTAGGCTTAGTGTGTGCCACACCCCACTCTCTCCTTCCTCCTCCTGTTTTATTAGGTGAAGACATTCAATGAAGCTTGCCTGATGGTAAGGAAACCAGCCCTAGAGCTCCTACATTACCTGAAAAACACTAATTTTGCTCATCCAGCTGTACGATATGTTCTCTGTATCCTTTCTTTCCTGCCTGGACCATCTTGAGCCAGTGCTTTCCTCCCTCAGATGGGGAGAAAGAAGCAATGCAGAAGTACTATGTGTTGACCATACAAGTGTCCCTTCTGGGGATGTTTTCCTTAACAAGTGCTTTAGATGGGGAGAAGGGAACGGGAAAGACCCTCAGTCTTTGCCATGCTATTCATTTCTGTGCAAAACAGGACTGGCTAATACTGCATATTCCAGATGGTAAGAACTTCCCGTCTTCACTATGCTGGGGTTAGTTATCCTGTTACTGGGGTGGCTTTCACTTTTTGACAGCCCTGATGGCTTAAGGAAAGGCCTTTGCTCCAGATGCAGAGCAGTCTGAGCTAGTTTGTCATGATTTCTTCATGTTACTGACAAGGTAAAGTAAATGCAACAGAGGAAATTCAGCTAAAAGCTTTCTGGAGCCTTTTGATGATAAAATGAAGAGTTTTGGTCCATCTAGTCTTCACTTTGATATGTAATGCCCAGGAACATAAAGACCTACTTTAGAGGTCACCACAGGCTTTATTGCCATCAGTCAACAATGGTGAGTATCTGTGGAGCCTGACATGGTACTGTTTATCAGCATTCTAGAGTTGTCAGCATGGATCTTAGAAACTTCCTCTCATCCTTTGCATATATCCCTCCTTGCTTTGTTTAGTGATGTGTGCCTCCACGTTTTCTAACTATCTTTAAAAACTGCCAGGAAGCTAAGGTGACCTTTAATCCACTTGGTATGCCTTGTTTAATCTAAGATAGACCAGATAAAAAAGTAAACCTCTAAAGCAAGAAGGCTTTAAGCTTACACAATTATCAAGAAATATATATGTGGAAACTAAAGTCATTTCCCATATATAAGTAAACTTAAAGAAGCATAGAGTATTTTAAGTTGAACATAGGCAGTTCCTGCCTAGTTTGTTGCCTTGTGCCTTTTTTTTAGCTCATCTTTGGGTGAAAAACTGCCGGGATCTTCTGCAATCTACCTACAACAAAGAGCGCCTTGATCAACCCTTGGAGGCTTCAATCTGGCTAAAGAATTTCAAAACTGCAAATGAGCGTTTTTTGAGTGAGGTGACTAGGCTCCTAGAAGTTTGGTGCTGGACAGTCTTTAGGTTTTATCCTCTTTGTACCCTGAGTACCAATAGACTGAGAACTAATACTGAAGATGGGATGACTACACCATTTTATACTTCGTTCATACATTTTACCCACAGTGAGCTCACAAGCGGAGACTCTGCACATGATATAGAGGCAGCAATACACTGTTCACATCCTGGGGGCAGCAGAGTGAAGGCCGCACTGATCGTGACTTTTCCAGGGTCACAGCCTCTAATCCTCTAAAGCACATTTTCAAATATGTGATTTCTCCAGAGAAGAACTTTTTCAGAACCAAAAGTGTATTGGTAAAATTATTCTTTGCTCTAGTGATTCTTGGATACAATCTAGGCCAGGGGTTTTCAACTCTGGATACAAGTCAGAATCACCTATGAGCTTAACAATGCAGTACCAAGGCCTCATACTGGACCTGTTTAATCAGAATCCGATGCATATTTTTTTTAGCTCCAGACAGAAATGGGCGAGATAATGGTCACTTCCATACTGAGGTCTCTTACAGTCTTGAAAATAGATTAAAACTTGACTCCTAACAGTCTTAGCCTCATGCCTTCTCAGCCTCAGATGGGCTCTTCCTTAGGCTAAGTAGCCTTTTTTGGTTTTGGTTTTGTTTGTAGATAAAAGTTCAAGAGAAGTATGTCTGGAATAAGCGAGAAAGCACGGAGCAAGGCAGTCCTCTGGGAGTAGTAGTTGAACAGGTATAAAAAAGACACTGAGTCTGTATTACGTCATAACAGGAGAAGGCCTCTCACAGACTGTAAGCCACTGTCTGTCTTTCCCTACAGGGCATAACGCGGGTGAAGAATGCCACTGATGCAGTTGGGATTGTGCTGAAAGAGCTAAAGAGGCAAAGTTCTTTGGGTATTTTTCACCTCCTGGTGGCAGTGGATGGAGTCAATGCTCTCTGGGGAAGAACCACACTGAAAAGAGAAGATAAAAGCCCAGTAGGAAAACCAAGCCTCTATTCTGGTTTCTCTGATTTCTGGTACCATCATATATATACGTAGGCTGGGACGTAGCCTTGCAGACCAGGCAATATATTTTCTTGCCCCAGGAGTGTTTGAATTTAAGATGAATAATGAAAGTAGCATCAAGGAGAAGGTGATGCTGAGTTCCATCATCCACTGAAAACTAAGAGTACTGTGAGAAGAGCATGGCAGCAGAAGCCGTTCTCTTTCTGGTCATCTTTCTTTTCCTTTTCTTTTTAAAATGGGCTTTGTGGTCTAAGCAGAGATGAGAAGCATCAAGGAAGGGGGTGGTTTGGAGCAGTGGTGGTTTTCTCCCTTGGTGGCTGTTTTTAATTTCCAAAAGCATGGCAGTTTCAAGGCCAACCGATACAGCTCATCTCAGGTTGTACCCCAGGTACAATGGTTCTGTAGTAGTTGAGGGTTTTTTAGTTGTTGTCTATTCCTTTGTCTCAGAGGAGCATCCAGGCAAAGCAAGTACTGGTTTCTTTCTTTCTCTCCCTCCCCCCTTCCCTCGTCCCTGCCTTACCGCCCTCTCACACACTGACAAATATGCAGATCGCCCCAGAGGAACTAGCACTTGTTTACAACCTGAGGAAAATGGTGAAGAATGACTGGGTGAGTACATACTTGGCCGAACACATTGCAGAAAGAAACGTATTTTTGTCTGAAAGAGGTTCAATTACTTCATTGCTAATACTTTGCAGTCTCTAATTGCATGGACAGAAGGTTCTTATTTAATTCCCATTAACTGTACCAAGTTTAAGATCTATGTATTTGGTTGCTAATCTTTCCACTTGAATGGACTAAGCTTATTCAGAAGCATTTTATTTAAATATTGGTGTGATTTTATTTTGCTTGCAATTGTTCAAAGTGTTTTTATATCTTCTACCAACTTTGGGAGAGATTTTGAGAAATTTAAGATCATGTAGCAATTTATCTTTAGAGCCGAATCTAGAATAACCAGTTCAGTAACCAGTTGCCACTGAACTGTGCTTAAGCACCACCGCCATACCACCCTGTGGCCAAAAAACACTAGCGATGATTGAGATGCATTTTTCCATCTTACTCAGCTTTTGCTAATTTGGCTTTTTCTCTTTTCTTTTAGCATGGAGGCGCCATTGTGTTGACTTTGAGCCAGACTGGGTCTCTCTTTAAGCCTCGGAAGGCCTTTCTGCCCCAGGAGTTGCTGGGAAAGGTCAAATCTTTGGAAAATGTTTCCCTTAGTCATTCTGTCTAAAGAGATATCTTTTTTTCTTTCTGACAGAATTTGAGCCTTGGAGAAAAATCATATTCCTGTATGTCTTTGCCCAAATTCCTAAAATGTTAAGAATACCGTATTTGCTTTCTTCTTTTTTTTCTAAATTATGTGATAGTAACTTGATTTATCTCTATAACTTGTATATTTCCTAAAATCATAGATACTCATATAGAGTATAGTAGTAACTTGATTTATCTCTATAAATAACTTGTGTATTTCCTAAAATCATAGATACTCTAACATATAACCATAGCACATTGGTATCAGGAAATTGGTGTCAGTATACTACTGTTACCTAATCTATAGAACTCAGTCTGATTTTGCCAGTTATCCAATACCCTTTAAAGAATGTCCTGTATAATGCATTGCATTCAATTATCAATTCTCTTTAGTCTCCTTTAATCTAGGACATTTCTTTAGTCTTTGTCTTTTATAACCTTAAAATTTTTATTTCTGATGCTGAAGCATACACACCAGTTATCTTATGGATTCTTTTATGGGGTTGTCTGATGTTTTCTTTTTATTAGAAGTGAAGAAGTGATGTTAGAAGTGATGTTGCATCTTCCCAGTGCATGTCAGGAGGCACAGGAAACTGACTTGTCCTGTTACTGACACTTGGAATACTTAGTTTAAGGTGGTGTCCACCTCATTTCTCCTTTTTAATAAAATAGTCACTATTTTCCTTTTGGAATGAGTAAGAATCTTGTGGAGATATACTTTGAGACTAGGTAAATAATACCGTTACTGCTCAAACTTCCCCTTACTAGTTTTAGTATCCTTGTGGTGATTCTTTCCCTAAATCACCTATGATAATTACAAAATGGGTATTTTCTAGCTCCATCATTTATTCTAAATGTATCAGTTGGCTTTCTATTATATGTAATAACTTTCCTGTCTCCCTAATATGTTTGCTTGTTTCAGCATGGACACATGGCTTCTTTTTGAATGGGTTCTAAATCTTTACTATCATTATTTATTTTGATGCTTAAGTCATCCCAGATTTGGCCAGAAGGAGCCCCTTCAAAATGGCTTCTATGTCCTCTTAACGTCCACATCATTCTTTAAGCACCTCTTTTATTCTTAGCATGAAAATATGTTCCAGGCTCATCTTGTAGTTTCCATGCCCTAGTCCTGGAATCAGCCATTTCTTTAAGGAGCCTTGGTTTGTTTTAAAGGAGAATGGTATTTAGAAACTAAGACCTGAGTTCTAGGTATAGTTATTGCTACTGGGTGTCACTTCTTCTAGGCCCTTCATTAGAGTTAGTAAGGAGTTAGGTATATGTAATATGCATATGTACATGCATACATGTATATGCATGTATGTGCTTACATATACACAGTCACATACATCTGTATCTGTTTCTCTTTTTATTTTTAAAAAACCTTGAGTTCATACCAATATTCCCAATTCCAGGCCAGCATCACAGCATTCATTATATCCTGCCCCCTTTCCATATTTAGAACCCTTCTCTCCAGCAGTAACCAGTCTGCTGTCCTTCCACACTGTTTGCTTATTAGCTCAGTCTTATAGTCATAGTAGTTTAGAAATTGCAAACCCTTAACTCTAAAAAATAAGCTGTGAACTAGAGCTCAATATTTGCTTAGATTCCGTCTTTAGCCTAAAGAGCTTTAGTCCAAATGCTCCATGTAGGAGTTAATGTCGGTTAGTTTCCCTCCTCCCTTCAGTGTTAAGGCTGACATTTGAAATACAGTTTGATTGAGTTTCAGTTTACATTGCATTTAGGGTCTTTTTCCCCCATCCTTGTTGATTCTGTTTTTTCTCTGTTTTTGAGTATATGAACTGTCAGAACTGTTGTTGACTGTTGAAATCAGAACTGTAAAAAAAATTTTTTAGTGTACATCTATGTATACACTTATGTATACATATGCTAAAACAAGTAGCATTCCCCCTCAAGCATTATCCCTTTCTTTAAAACATAGTATTTGTGGCCGTGCAGAACAACAGTAGCCAGCGGCTGTGTACAAAGCCCTGTATGAGGCAGGGTAGCCAGAGAGTGAGGAGCAGAGCAGAACAGAAGCAAAGCAAACACCTTGCCCGCAAAGCATCTGAGTAAACTGATCCCTCTGCTGATTTGTCACTTAATGAATACTATATATTTATTCTTTCTCCTCCTCAGGAAGGATTTGATGTCCTGGACCCCTTTATTCCCATCCTGGTTTCCAACTATAACCCAAAGGAATTTGAAAGTTGTATTCAGTATTATTTGGAGAATAGTTGGCTTCAACATGAGAAAGGTCAGTTGTTAATTTTTTCCTGTTAGGGCCTTGTGCTCACAGAAGGGTCCCACTGAGTCAGAGCCTTGCTCTCCTCTTCCCTCAGCAGCAGCCTATAATTTATATTTCATCTTTTTCCCTTTATCTTGACTTTTTTCTGGCTGATTAGATGGTACAGAAAGGTGAGGGGGTGGAAGGTGGTTAACGTTTAATTTACAAAAGACATTCTGTCTCAGATCTCACATCAGTCTAGAATAAGACACTCGTGCTAATAGAGGAGGCCAGACCAAGCCCACCCACTAAGAGCATTTCCAGGTGTTCGGGCTGCTACTGCGCTCTCACTTTTGCAGTTATTTATCCAAGCTTCATCTGAGAGACTCATATGCTAGGGCCACCCCCCAGAGTAATTGTTAGTGATAGGCTATACCAGCCCCAAACAGCCCTTGCTGTGCCTGTCCTAGTGAATGTATACAAAGCATTCTAGCTGTTTTTATTTTGCCCCTGCCCTCAGCTCCAAGTGTAGAGGTACAGGGGATGTAGAGGGAAAATAAGGCTATTCTCTCAATAACAGAACTATCTGGGATTGGAATCGGTCACTAAAGGAATACAGGGAAAAATATAAAGCAGCTGCAGCACAGTGGGTCAGGAGGCACAATGAAGAGATTTCTAAGGGGAGAGATTTGCCAAAGTCCTAAAGTCTAAGAGATACTCTAAGAACAGAGGGCGAGATGGACACTGGATTGGAGGAAGAGAGGGAAATTATGTATAGAAAAAATAGTTTATTAAGAAAAAGGCTCTAAAAGTGAGGTCTCTTGGGAATACTAATTACATCAATGTAATTTGGATATTGTTGCCTCTGACTAGAGAATTTTATGGGTACACAATATTGCAAGAGAAAACAGCCAGTGTTCTGTGTTTGACTCCATTTTAGCTCACACAGAAGAAGGGAAAAAGGAGCTGCAGTTCCTAAGTAATGCAAATCCTGGGCAGCTGGAGCATCTTTGTGCCTACCTGTAAGCCATGGTCACTGCGTGCACGGAAGACAAGGGACATGTCCTTTATCGGACCCAGTCAGATGGGGAGCCCCCGAGACCACAAGAAGGGCAGCCCGAGCCCCTGTACTCACAAGGTCGGACGGGACTGTGGGCGACCCCCAACCTTGATGAAATGGGATCTTTGTGAAGTGACTGCAATGGCAAAAAGATATCCTCTTATGCCTGAAGCTAATATACATTTATTAGATGTGATTTTCACATTTTAAGTAATTATGGATCTTTTCCTTAGAAAATTAAAAAGTATCTTTATTAAAGTATTGTATTAGATTTATAAGCTGGAAAGAGCCTTCAGATTGGCTAAATTGAATTTCTCTGGTGTTATGCTTGTTCAGACTAAATTCTACAGAAATTTCCAGTATTTTCCAGACTTTATTTCTATTTTCCAGACTTTCTTCAATTCAGGCACTTGAGATCCACAGCTTAACTTCTCCCTCCCAGCTGCTTACCATTCACTTCCCATTTACACTTTTATCAGTGGTCCCTGAGAACCCTACTGAAACTTGTCAGCTTTCTATGCTACAGCCCCTTTTCTAGGTTCCTGATTAAGTATAAACCCCTACAACAAAAATGAATCAATGAACTTACCATTAATGCATATAGAGCAAGTACTATCTATGTACCATCTTTGGGAGATTTGGGAAAATAGTGACTCAAAAGTCAGTTTCAGTAGAGTTTAATTCTGCCCCCCTACTCAGGTTGTTGGTATAGAACTGGAAGTTTGGTCCCAGGTCTGCCACTTAGCTGTTTTAGGGTTTCCTATTTCCTTCTCTAAATTCACACCTTATCTAATAATGCCACTTCCAGGAGTTTTGTGTGAATTAAATCACATAATTAAGGTGGAGTGACCCACACACAGCAGGTACCCATTAAATGGTAGGTAGCTAGCATTTACAACTTGGATTTTATAATGCTTTATTTGAAAAATTACTGTGAGGGAGACAGTCTCTGAAAGTATATCAGCGTTTTTCACTGAAGAGCCAGCTTCCCCATCCCCCGCCTAGTCCCATCAGTTTAGCTACATGATGTTCTAGCATCTAATTCAAAGATAAGAGCCTTACAGAGACTCCTACACCAGCTCCCACAATTAGAAAGCTCAAATCCATATAGTAAATCCCTTTTAATATGGTTCTGCCTCTGTAATTGAACCCTGATGGATACACCTCCCAAAGGATAGTTAAGCCTTTGGATTGAACTCACTTCCCCTCTCCATGCTTCAGTCCCAGCCCTTCTCAGCCCTGCAGTGTGAGTTCTGATGATCACTTGCTAATTTGTTTCTCTGCCCCGCTACCCCTCCGGGCTCCTCCCTCCAGACACTCTCCCCTAGGGCTGCCTAAGTGAGCCCTCCAAACACAGCCTGGCATGCAGTTCCCTTGGGAACATTCAGTGGCTTTTCAGTGTGCCTTTATTCTAATTATTTTTGCCATGTGCGTGCCTCCAAGTTCAAATCATAAAAAAACATATGGAAAATCAGGCTCCTTTCTTTCCCCTTCCCTTCCCTTTTCTAGAGACAACTTCTGTTACCGAATTCTAGAGAGAGAATTCTACACAAAAGAATATGCTTTTTAAACACAAAAGTGTACTTTTCTATACCTTCGTGTTTGCACCTATCTTGGATATTTTATCTATTAGGATTAGTTCTTGTTAATCGAGTGCTTGCTCTAAGTCATTTAAAAAGAAAAGGAATTAAGTAGCACATAGAACCTGCAAGAGGGACATTGTCACAAGCTCAGCAGCCCCACATCATCCTAACAACCTGGGAGAAGGCTGCTGTGATAAAGTCACCCGCGCTCCTGTGAACACCAAGGCTGCCAACTACGCTAGTGACGTGCCTAGACCGCAGGAACTCGACAAAGTAAGACACTGTTGTTTTCACTTTTACCAGAGGATGTTTACTCGCAGAACCTGCATCTGATTGGCAGGCCTGATCCTTAGCTGCAAATGAGGCTAGGAAACTGGCTTCCATCTTTGAAAGGCTAACTCACAATCCATATGCCTCATTCTCTTTAATGAATGTGGAATAGTAAGCTATATGGCCGTGCCATCGTATATGTACAAAGTCACTACTAAAGAATTACCTCATTACTTCTGTAATTGGCTAAATATGGAGTCTTAACTTTTTCAAAATATTCTGCCATAATCTACCCCAGCTGGTCCTCTTTTTTTTCTTAAGCTCCTGCTGCTGCTGACCTGATCCTCATGCCCCGGTTTTTCTGGTCGCTACACTATGCCTGCTGCCCAGCTGGTCTCCTGGGGCTTCTCTCTTCATCACGCAACTGGACTCAATCCAGATTGGGAAATACGACTCAGAACATTTATGTTCACATGACGTAAACCTGTATATAGGAAACCGTAAGAAATCTCAAAATATGCACTAGAACTAAAAACAGTTTTGGCAAGGATATAATAAAATATTAAGATAAAAAAAACAATTTTATTTCTCTATACTAGCAATGAAAAAAATCCAAAACTGAAATTAAGAAAGTAATTCTATTCAAAATAGCAGGAAAAGTATTTAGTGACTTTAACAAAGTACAAGATGTACACCAAAAACTGCACAATATTCTGAGAGAAATTAAACAGGATCTAAATTAATGGAAAGACAGTCCATGTTCATGGGTTGGAAGACTCATTAGGGTTAAGATGTTAATTATTCCCACACTGATCCATAAATTCAATGCATTCAATATCAAAATTTAAGCAGGATTTTTTGGAAAAACTGACAATTCATCTTAAAGTTTATATGGAAATAAATACAACTAGAATGGCCAAAATAATTTTTTTTAAATAAGCAAGTTGGAAGGACTACTCCTCCTATTTTCAAAATATAATATAAAGCTGAAGTAAACAAGACAGTGTGGTACTAGCCTAAGGACGGATACTAGGTCAGTGGAGCAAAACTGGAAGTTCAGAAATAAACCCTGATATTTACAGTCTTTGGATTTTCAACAAAGATACCAAGGCAGTTCAATGGGTAGAAAATAACCTTCAACAAATTATGCTGGGATAACTGAATATGTACATTCAAAAAGATGAATTTTGGCCCTTACTTCATACCAGATACTCAAAATGGATCATTGCCCTAATTGTCAGAAGTAAACTATAAAATACAAAATATTTGACAAGAAAATCTTCATGACCTTGAATTAGGCAAAGATTTCTTACTTAAGTCAATAGATAAGGATCCCTACAACAAAAAGTTGATAAATTGTACTTCACCAAAAGTTAAAACTTCTATACTTCAAAGATACCATTAAAATGAAAAAGACAAGCTACAGACTGGGAGAAATATGTGTAAATCATGTCTGATAAAGGACTTATATCCAGAATACATAACTCATTAAATATAAATGACACAATTTAAAAATAATTTGAGTAGATAGTTCCCTAATTTAGACATTTAAATGGCTGACAAGATAATGGAAAGATGCTCAACATCATTATAGACACTAGAATGGCTATAAAACACAAAGATGCCAAGTGTTGGGGAAGATGTGGAGAAATAGGAACCCTCACACATTGCTCATGGAAATAAAAAATTTCCAAAATGTTGACACTTAAAACAGTTTAGCAGTTCCTCAAAATATCAAGCAATTCCACCCCTAGGTATCTACCCTCAAGAAATGAAAACATATTCACACAAATCCATGTTCAAACGGCATGAAACTGTTGACAGAACATTATTTGTAAGAGCTAAGAAGTCTAAATCATTCAAATATCCACTAACTTGTAAATGGATGAGCAAAGAGGAGCAAAATACTAATGTGTGCTATAACATGGGGAACCTCAAAAACCTTATGCTGAGACCCCAGACTCAAAAGACCACATATTGTATGATTGTGTGAAATGTCCAGAAATGGTAAATCAGTAAAGGCAAAAGTAGATTAGTGTTTGCCTTCTGTTGGGAGTATGAATGTGGTTTAACTGTAATCATACAGGAGGAATCTTGCAGATGATGGAAATGTTTTAAGACAAATGTAATGATTGCACAACTCTGTATATTAACAAAATCACTATACACTTAAAATGGATATAAAGAATACCTCAATATCCTTTATTGCAGATACTTCAGTAAGAGTGTTAAAAAAAAAGCAGACTTCTTCCTTTCCTCTGTTCACAGGATTCGTATCTTCATCGTAGTCTGATGGCTCCCCAGCCTCCTCTGGCACCCTCATGTTCCCTCAGAGGCACTTTATCCCCAAATAAAGCACTTGCATATATAATCCCATTTGGTGTTTGCTTCTGGTCCTCCACAGACAAATATCAAGTTGCAAGTAAAAAATAAAAGATACACTATGCAAACACCAACCAAAAGAAATTTGGTTCATCTATATTACTTTCAAACAAAGTAGACATTAATGTAAAACAGTGTAATCAGAGAAAAAGGATATTTAATAATGGTAGAGGGTTTAATTTATGAGGAAAACAAAGCAATTATAAAGTAGTATGCCCTAATAACAGCCTAAGAAAGTAAAAACCGAAAAAATTTCAACAAGTAGACAATAATGGGAGAGGTAATACACTTCAGAAATTGACAGAAGAGACAAGACTCAGTAAGAATATAGATTTGACTACCCTGATTAACAGACTTGCTGAAATGAAACTACTTTCTAAAACTAAACCTAAAAACTTCTGAATATACATTCTTTTTAGGCACAAAATATAAAAGATGTCAACACTTTCAAATTAAGTCATACAAGTGATGTTCTCTGATTCCAATGCAATTTAAGCTAGAAATCAGTAATAAAAAGATACAGAAGAAATTCCCAGCAGTTTGGAAATTAAAAAACTTTTCTGATGTGTCTAGAGATCAGATATTAAAACCAGAATAGAAATGAGAAAGTAACTCAAACTTAATTATGAAAATACTAAACTCAAACCATAAAAATTTAGTCCTCTGAAAATGTTATTAAAATTGATTTTTTTTGAAAGCCTTTTTGTGAAAGAATATTCAACCAATATTCTCTTTGAGAATTCAACCTCTTAAATATTGTGAGAATGTTCAAGAAAAAATAAAATTTTTACCTTTAAAAGAAGCAGTATCATAAGTGTAAAAGATGTCAGAAATGATAAAACATAGTACTACAGATTAATGCAGACATTAAAAAGATGAAATGGGTATTATTATGAGCAATTTAATGGCAAAAACTCTGAAGATGAAATGGATAAATTCCTAGAAAACGTATCAAAACTACTACCAAATTTGATACAGGAAAAAAATATAAAATAGTCCTATAAACATAGAATTTATAATCAAAACCATTTCTACAAAATACCATGCTGATACGACTTCACCAGTAAATTCTATCAAATGCATGAAGAAGAAATAATGCTAATCTCATACAAACTTATGAGGAAGAGAAAAGGGGAGATATTTCCCAATTTTTTTTTAGTCTAATATTAATTCTGATTATCAAAACCTGACAAGAACATTACAGGAAAGAGAAAGTACAGGCCAATCTCATTCTTAAAACATAAATGCAAAAATCCCAAACAAAATATAAGTAAAGCAGATCCAACATTTTAAAGGGGTAATACAACATGAATGAGTCAAGGTTCATTACAGGAGTGTAAGATAAGATGATACGCAAAAATCAAACTAATTTATCCCTTTGGCAAAACAAAGAATAGGATTAATGATTACCGTAATTCAGAGAAAAATTTTTTTCAATTCCAAATCCATTCATGATGAAAACTTGGCAAACCAGAAACAGAAGACAACTTCCTTAAGCTGACAGAACATCTACAAAAATTATGTGAGCACAGCGGTGTTGCTGGCTGAGCCAGTATACAAATCAGTTCTATTCTCTGTATCCAAAGAATAAAATTCAAAAAGATTTCATTTACAATAGCAACAAAAATATATATAACTTACAAAATATCACAAAAGACATATATGACAGGTATACAGAAACCTATAAAATATTGGGAAAGCTTTTTAAAAATTAAAAATGGTTGACTATAACTTGGAAAATTTACTCTTATAAAGGCATCAGTTCTTCCCACACCGACCTACAGAGGGGCAATGCTCTCCCCATCAAAGTACCTATCGGTTTTTAAACTTTGTTGTAGAACTTGATAAACTGTTTCTAAAGTATATGTGGACATACAGAGAGCCCACACAGATAAGATTTACATTTTATTTTGAAAAATTTCAAACCTACAGGTATGTTGAGAGAGAAATACAAAGAACATCAGAAAACCTTTACTTAAGAGTCACTTGTTAACATTTTGTCAGAGTTGCTGTATCTTTCTACATATTAACTTTGTGGCACCATTTGAAAGTAAACTGCAGACAAGTATTTCATCGCATATCTCCTAAGAATAGGATACTCTCCTACATAACCAGAATATCATTATCATACCAAAGAAACTCATCATCAATATGATAATAATCTCTGACAGGATTTTCACATTTCTTCAGTTATACCTCAACAATGTCTGTATGGCTCCCCTGCACCAATCCAGGTTCCAAATCCAGGATCACACATGACATTTAAGCTGAAAATCTCTTTAGTGCCCTTTTTATCTTCAATAGAATCTTTTTTTTTTTTTTTTTTTGGTCATTTGACACTTGTAAAGACACCAGGCCAGTTGTTTTATAAACTGTTCCACATTCTGGATTTGTCTAATTCTTTCCTCCAGATCAGAAACAGGTTACAGGCTTTCAGCAAGCATAATACATATAGTTGAAATTTTGCATTTGCCACACTCAGGATCATTTCAGTCTGTTCTGTTGTTGGTGATGCCAAGTTGGACCACTTTGTATATTTTGGCACCCATCATTGTAAAAGTACATATTGAAGATTAACAAGTTTTCTGTGGATAGTTAACTTGAAAGCCTGGAATCATTCTGTTTTCCAACAAATTATTGCCCAGTGGTTTTTAACATTTATTGACCCTCACCTGAATAAATTCTTCAGTTGATAGCTGCAACCTAAATTTAAATTCCATCATTCCATCCACATTTATTAGCTGCCAGTCTTCTGTCATCCCTGACACTCACCCTCCGCTCTCCTCTTTTAAGTCTCCTCGGTGGACTCAGAGCGAAAACACTTTTAACAACACAGTGTTTACACAAAACTCCTAAAGGA